AAAAAGAATGATGATGATGACGAAAAGAATGTGTCAATGACGCTGAATGAACGTGAACGTGACAGCAAACTTTTCGAAAACAATTGGTACATGAAAATGAACGACAGGAAGAAGAAGAAACGCCAGAAACATATCACGGACCTTTTCTTCTTCTTCTTCTTCTTCCTTTTTTTTTCTTTTTTTCTTTTTGCTTTTCTGCAAGAGTACGTCATCCGTGCCCATCAGGGGGCACGCTAACTAATTCTTCTCCCTATGATTCCAATTTGAACAGTTGTGACGCCCCGAAGGTGACAATCATCGTCGACCAGTTTAACGTCCGCACATCCTCTTAAAAAAAAAAAAAAAAAAAAAAAAAAAAAAGCCACCTCCAGTGCAGTAACAGATGGTTGTCCTTTCCCCTCCTCCCCCAAGGATACAGAACCAAATATAATTATTATTTATCGACAATGTAAGTTATGTGACATTATAAAAAATTTAATATTTAATATTCATCGATCCAAAAAGATAAAAGGCAAAAAGATAAGAGGAAAAAAAACAGACAAGCTCATACATCGTCGTATAAAAAAATTACTGATTTAATATTTATTGATCCAAAAATAAAAAAATGTAAAGACTCTAAAGAGTAAAAAATCCGACAGGCGCACCTGGTGGTTTGAATTGCTGGACTTCAGCCAGAATACACTTCAATGTGGCCAAAGCAGGTCCGATCCGATTTGCCGCACTGTGCTCCTCGGCATGATGGCGCAAGCCCCTTGCTCGGTGCAATAGGTTGCACACTGCCAGGTACTTCTGCACGGTATCACAATTTGTGGAATAGTTAAAAAAAAAAAAGTGCCAAAAATACTACAACATTAGTAAAAAAAATACTAAGAAATCTGAAATTATACTTTAAAAAAATACTAAAAATTCACTAGAAAGTACAATACAAAAACAAAAGAGGCCGTGCACTGCAAACGTTGCACAGTTAAAACAATTAAATATTGACATAAATAACGAAGGTACACCATATACCCTCATTAGCGCTTTTCTAAATCTATGAACCCGCAATTTCAGTCAGCCGTGCATGTATCTGATCGCAATTACGTCCATAGAGTCCTCGAAAAAGTTCTACTGTGACTATGCCCTGACTGTGGTTCGTACTTCAGAGTTCAAAGTCCAAATCATATATGGGCTGTACATATCAACTATGATTATAGGCCAGAAAGCAGAAGCAATGTGTGAATTCAAGAAAATTTAAAAAAAAAAAAAAAAAAAAAAAAAAACCCGTAGACATTCATAGTATTTCATACAAGTCACGACAAATCACAGCATATGTACGATAGATAAGGAGCACGTCTCGAAATTGCCGAAAACTTCGCGAAACGAGTAAACAGTAGTATTCGTCACCCCTATGGTTATAGGCCAGGAAGTGGTCCCCACAGGCCCTGGCATCCCTTGCAAAAAAGTGAGTGGGATGCCAAAAAGTGAGTGGTCCCCACTGGTCCTATTATGAAGGGGAGAGGCTTTTCCAGGCACAACTGAAACTAAGGCCACTACCGTCGTCCCCCAAACATAACACACGTGTTGTATTCGAGTTTTTGGGAAAAGAAAAACAGAAATTCAAATAGAACGCAACGCATGTGCATTATATACAAAAACCAGGGATGTTCGAATAGAGCGCGTGTGCGTTGTATTCGAATAGACAGCAGCCTACGAGTTGTATTCGTTTACCACGCATATGCGTTCTGTTCGGGGGAAGACGGTGGTCTCAAAAAAAAAGAAAAAAAAAAAAGAACCCTAATTAGTAATTACATTGCAAAAACCTGGGGCCCTAAATTTAGGGGGGACAGTTTGACAGTATACCTGACGCCAGTCGTTGTTGTTGGGTGGTTTTTTTTTTTTTTTTTTTTTTTTCCTTTTGATTTTCTGTCGATCTTTTTGCTGGAACACCAGGGATAGTAATTAAAACAAACAAACAAACAAACAAACAAACAAACAAACAAACAAACAAACAATGAAACGAAAACGAAGCGGTACAAGAACTGGGCAATTAAATTGCCCGAACTACCGGCGGTTCGAACCATATGCATGTGGGAGTCAGTGGGACACGATTCGCTCGACCCATGGGACACATGATGAGCCAATCTCTTTTCCCAACAAGGCTACTGAGACGGAACACCTTGTTTGGGAATTCGGTGCAAACAACTACTTGGCTTCAGAGTCTTCAGACATTGCCTGCATGTTGCCAAAGCGGCCATAACACTGTTCAACGAACTTTCATCAACTTCAAATTTTACAATTTTTTTTTTTTTTTTTTTTTTAAATTCAAATTTCTTTGACATAAAGTCGACCTGGTGATTTAAAGGTGAGACTTGAGTAGGAAATCCAAACACACATAGAGTGGTTAGAAGTCAAACACAAGAGAGCTTGTGTAGGAGTCCAAACACACATGGAGTGATTAGAAATCGCAACAAAAGAACTCCGTACAAAAAACTTGTACATAGATTGCAATAGCCGGTGGGTAAGGCACCCCGACCGGTTTCGACCGCCGCCACGCGGTCTTCTTCAGGGGGAAACCACGAGACATCTCCCTCATCAATTCCCATACTTCCATCCAACCCACCTCCGCCGTTCCTCCGCTGACATCTCCGGGAACGTCAGCGACAATACCGACGTAGGACCCAAAGAGGATTATAGGTATGCAATCATTTCCTACATATAATCCGATGGTTCAGGTACCGTATAGTGTGCAAAAGCCAAAAAGTCAAATGTACGGAACAAACGTACCGCGGTCTCGAAAGTCCCAATACCGCTGGTACGAAACTTACGTACCCGACTTGGCTACAGCTTCGGTCCAACTGGTAAACGACAAAACTACCAGCTTCCAAAAACCAAGGAGCCTCTTTCGGGCCACTACATTACAGGGCCCGAAAACGGTTCTATCCCCAACAGAGGTGCAGCGAGGGCCATTTTTCTCAGAGGCGAACAAAGGGCCGCGATGGGCCAAGCAGAGTTCATTATCGGGTATGGGTAGCCCAAAAGCGATACACATAGAGCGGGTATCGAACTGAGTAACAAGCCAGGAACTGCAGCCATCCGCGGGCAAAAGGCAAAGCTCCTCAAACTAAGGATCGAACACTTGCAAGCAAAAAACCTGCTACAACTTATCCTCTGACATCCGAAGCAAAAAATAAAGTCGCCCTGCCTTTTTTTTTTTTTTTTTTTTAAGCTGCCGTGTTGTTTGCAGTGTCCTTCATTTTCTTTTTCCGTAAAGTCACCCTGCCATTCATTCAGTCAGTGACTCAGTCCAGATGATGATGATCTATGGGTGATGATGGATGTCCATTGGAGTGGACTTCCTTGCTCAGTTTGCGGGGATCACTTGTGGATGCTATGCTTCGTGTTGGGGATGTGTGGACCGCCTCGTCTGTCCTCCGTGGCCGCCTTGCTACCCCCATCCCCGCTTGCTCCCGAGGTGGTCCTTTGCCGCTGGTGTGTGTTTGCTGTGTGCTGTGGCTGCATTGTTCGTGTTCCCTTGTGCTTCGCTGCGCTGTTGCCTTGCTACCCATCCACATTCTTTGGTCGTGTGCTGTGCACTTCGGCTGCTTTGTTCCTGTTCCCTTGTGCTTCGCTGCGCTGCTGCCTCGCTACCCATCGGCGTTCTTTGCTTCTGTGATGTGTAGTTTGGCTGCTTTGTCCATGTTGCCTTGTGCCTCGCTGCGCTGTTGCTATGCTGCTCGTCAGCTTGCGTTGTCCTTCCATGCAGCTAGTCTTCATGCTATGCTGCTCGTCCGCATGTGCTCAGCTCCATGCAGTAGTTTTGATGCCTTGCAGTTGGGTTGCCCCGGACGCGTTTGCCTGGTGCTTCGCTGAGTAGCTGCCTTGGTGCGATGTTCGCTTTGTGGGCTGTCTCACAGCACTTTCAACAAGGGTCCAACAAAGGGTTCGTGATCCAAACGCGTCAATACGGGCATTCCGCAGATTGTCGAGGGTTCAGCCTCCTGATGAGTCGGTGCAACTCTGACAAAACAATCTATCATCATCAGTTTTAATTTTTTTCGCTCTTGTTGCTTATGGTACTCGGGTTATTTTTTCTCCTTCGCTCTGTTCGCTTGTGTGGGGATTGCTTGTTGGCAGTTCTTACCTGTGTTTTTTTTAATCGGGCCGCCAGGGGTCACCTTGTTTGACCGGGGCCGCTGGCTGGGCAAGGACTAGGGAAGGTCCCTGTAAGAAAAAAAATAAAAAATAAAATAAAAGTGAAAAAAAATCATGTTGTGCAGAAAGTTCCAGAAACATAAACTGAACAACTTTTGGCTCAGGGTCGGACCAAAATTCTTTGCGAAAAAATAAAAATAAAAATTATAAAATAAAATAAAATTAAACAAATATTTTTAATTTTTAATTTTAAAATTTTAATTCATTTTTGGCCCGGCTGGGCAAGTGGTCCTGGGCCACTCTGCTAACATAGGTTATTACACGATACAAGCTGGGTCTCTGCATGCTTTGCTACTCGGTTTGTTTTCTGCTGGGAGGTCACGGGGAATCGAACCCACGACTTACTCCTTCACTACTTGGTCTCAACACATCACACATACACAGACAATACAGTGTTGCACTCTCTCTCTCTCTCTCTCTCTCTCTCTCTCTCTCTCTCTCTCTCTCTCTCTCTCTCTCTCTCTCTCTCTCTCTCTCTCTATGTCTCTCTCTGTCTCTGTCTCTGTCTGTCTGTCTGTCTCACGTACACACACTCCAGGAGATGTGTTTAGGGATGCCTAGAGTGTTCGGATTTAGTAGGTTCTTGGTCTGCGACCTCTTCCTTCACAGGAATGTTAACACATGGCTATATATAGGTGAGAATTGCTTGGATTGATTGGATTGACAAGTCCGCTAGAAGATCGCTGGTGGGGGGTGGGGTGAAGGGCAGCTTAGGTGGTCCACCGCCACGAGTCAGTTAAAAGCCTAAAGGCATTGCCTGCCATCTATTGGAGGAGGTTGGTGCCTACTCAAATCTGACCGGGATCTACAGTCAGACGACCGTCTGCCAGAAGCGTCAGTACTGAACCGCAGTTGTTTTTTAAAACTTCCATTTTGATTTTGATTTTATTATTATTATTATTTTTTGAAACAAACGACGTCTCCCATTCATTAATAAACCAAACCGAGGCCGGGGACCTCACAATTCGACCCGGTGGTACTGACAGCATCAGCCAGCTTAGCTTACAGGCCAAAGGCCTGCAGAAAGTCCTTGCTACCGACTTTCTCAGTCTCGAAATTACTTTCCCAAACAAAATTGTTCTAGACCTTAACTGCACTGAATTCCAACTCTGGAGATACACCCTCTTAGCATCTGCGATTCTGCGGCACTGCGTGCTAGCTTGTCTAGATTATAGTAATCTGGGACTAGCACGGCCCAGAGGACTACCGTCCATACCTACTGACACTCTCCTACTGGCCCACAGCGGCCCTTTAAACCGAGCGCCCTGGTTGTTCAAACTATTGCCTATCACTTCAGTTTCCCTGATTATCTATCTGTTCAATCCACTGAGAAATGACCAGCCCTCTCCTCGAGTGAACGCCAGCCAATTGGTGATTCTTTGCCCAGGTACGTATGAACCAGCGAAGTTGTCTGCTGTTGCCCCTGCCTGCCTTGGCTATCCTCCTCCAGTCCACCCAAATTGCCTGTTTGAGGCCCTGTTTAATGTGTCTCTTGGTTTCCACGTCTGAGAAAGGAAGGTTTCTGTTGAAACCTTGCTCTGTTCCTGTCCAACCATATCACCTCGCAGATCAGGACTCTAACCACATTTGCGACATAACCCCAACCCCTGCGTCCGTTTAAAATGGATGGAAGAAAGCCCAACAGCACCCATTTCTCATACCACTCTACTCCCTGACCCCCGAACTTCTTCCAATGGTATTCCCACCATTTCCAGATTCGCTTGGAAGCTGGACACTCCCACCATAGATGCCTCGTGGATTCGAATGACCATCTGCATCTGGTACACCCCAACTCCACCTGCATTCCCCTACTAAGAAGCCATACCGCTGAGGGAGTTACTAGTAGGGACAGCCGCCATAAAATACTGACTTGTTTACCGTTTGGTAATCTGGTCAGATTCTTCCACAAATTTTCAAAGTCTTGGTCAGTCCCTGCAAGGTCTCCTTGCCACACTGCTTGCCACCAGGCCACTGCCACTTTCGCTGGAGGCTTCAGAGGTTTGCAGGCGATTTGGTATCCATGGGCGACTGTGTACTCCTGCAAGCTGATCTCGTTGCTACCAGCTGTGTTGGCAGACCAGCTCCACGCCACAGGATCAACCCGCAGGCTTCTCAAAGGTGACTTGCCCACCCAAGCTAGATGCTTTGATCTCGAACCCTTGGTGTGCACCTCCACCACCCTCACTTGACTCGGATTATCCCAAACGGTGGTTGTTGTTTCTTCCACAAATGATAGCAGGTTCAGTGGGCCATCGTTCCGCCACCTCTCCACTCTCCTGAGACCGCTGGGCAGGGTTTCCAATACCTTCCAGAGGACATCCCCCCCGGGTTCTGTATCTGAGATGTACCACGTACCTGGGGGGTCGGTTCCTTCCGGGCCGAGAATCTGAATCCACTCCTGGGGTATAGCATCCGTGATTTGGTCCCAATGTTCCGCCGTTCGTTGCAGGCCTCTTAATTTCAGCTTGAGGTCACTGAGAGGGATCCACCCTCCCAGTGTCAGTGACCATAGGTCCTCTACTCTCACAATCCCTCTCCTCACCCAGGCTTGTTCAAATGTCCCTGCTTTCCCATCCGCGGGGATGGGGGTGCCTGTACTGTCTACCACTGCTGGATTTTCGAACAGTAGTTGACGGAGTACTTCCTCTTTTGTAGAGGGAGGGGAGCGAGAATCTGGCGGCATCTTCTTCCAGGCTTTCCTGATGGGCTCCCAGAACCCAGATTTGAGTTTCTTCTTCCTAAAGGACGGCATGAAGAAACATGCCCAGACCTCCTTTGGGCGACTCAACTCCCATTCTGCCATTAAAACGCACTCCGCTAGAGCCACCCAATGTTCTGCCTCCCCCAACTCTGCAGCTTTCTTTACCCAGATCAGTAGTTGTGCCTGGTTCCTCCTTGTCGGGTCTACCAACCCCAACCCCCCTTTCTCTCGCGGGAAGGACAGGGTGTCAAATGCAACCTTGGAAATAAATGACTCAGAGTTCTGCGCTCTGGGTTTCCATATGAAACGTGCCACCAGTCTACGGATAGCCCTCGCCACGCCTTCGGCCAGTTCCCTCACCGTAGTTACAAACCAGAGGATGGACAGCAAGGCTGCGCTTACCACCAGCGCTCGACCTATCAGCGATAGGTGCCAAGCCGTTCCCCAAATCCGCAGTCTTGCGGATATGCGCTGTTGAAGCAGCATACCTTGCGTCCACGCTGCGATCTGCAGGCTGATCAGCACCCCCAGAAAGCGTTCTTCTTCCCCTATCACCACTCTCTTCATGCCCCATTCCACCCTGAGTACGAACTGCGCTGGGAGGAGGTAAGTCGATTTGCTCCAGTTTACCGAACTTCCGACAACACAGAGTATTCGCCCAATACGTTCTTCAAAGCTGAGAGTGCTGGCTCTGAATTTTCACACACTGCGAACAGATCGTCGGCCAGCGCCTTCACCTTGCATTCGTTGCCCGTGTGCAGTTGTAGACCGCGAATAACCGAGTGGGATCATATCTTGTTTAGCAATACTTCCAGCTGGATCACGAAGATAAGAGGGGCTAACAAGAAGCCCTGCCTGAGAGACCTCGTGAGAGGAAATGGCTCAGACATGTGCCCGCTGATCATGACTGAGGCTGTGGAGAAGGTGTATAGTGTGATGACCCATGCGCAGAACCCTTCCCCGAAGCCCAGCCATCGCAGTGTAGTGAGCACAAAAGTCTACTTTGTCATACGCCTTCTCCAGATCCAATAGGAGAACGGCGTAGTCCAGGTTCTCATTCTGGACTATCTCAAGTGTCTCAATTGCTGTCACTATGTTGCTGAAGATCGAGCGACCCTGCACGAATGCGCCTTGATCGGCGGCAAGTATCTTGCCAACCTTCTAGCTAGGGACTTGGCTAGGATCTTGTAGGATACATTCAACAGCGAGATGGGCCTCCAGTTTCTTATTTCGGCCTTGTCTCCTTTCTTGAAGAGAACTGCGATGACACCGTGCGTCATGCCCTTCCCTAGCTTTCCTCCAACCAGGATCCCGTTGTAGAGTTCCACTAGTAGCGGGCCAAACACGGTTCAGTTTGCGATGTAGAATTCGATTGTGAGACTGTCGACTCCTGAGGACTTGCCCTTCGCCATGGACTTGACAGTTTGGGAGATCTCTTCCAAGGTGATTGGACGATCCAGATCTAGCCTGCCGCCCGCATGCAGCCTTACTGTTGTGTCTTCCCACATGTCCGACGTTCGAGATAGATCAGTGTCTTTGCTGTCCTGAGGCCTTCTCGAGGTCAGAATATCAGAGTAGTACAGTCTTGCGTACTGCAGCATGCCCGAGGATGAGCACGCTGAGGGGGCTGAAGAATTGAAGGGGTGCGGCAGTTCCACCATTTGCTGCTGTGTCCTCTGTGGCTGCAGTTTTAGAAACATCTCCTTTGTCATTTTGTCGTGTGTTTCCACTCCCTTTACACGCAGTATCTCCACCCATCTTTTCTCCTTCTCCTCTTGCAGACTGTTCCACTCTGTCATCCTTCTTTCTCTTTCAGCAGCCCATACCATAGTCGAAATTGGGTGGCCCTCCATCCGGTCCTCTGCCTCCTCTATTCTTCTCTTACATTCTGCTTCTCTTTTGTTTCTTGTCCTGGCCAGGATCCTTGAGCACACATCCAACACGCCGGAGGTTATGGCTATTCCTCCATCTAGCCATTCTGCTGTTGAATCGAATAAGGGTCTCGTCTCCTCCCATCTAGCCATGTGGTCCGAGACCCACTCCCCAATGCCTGGCACTTCGAGGATTTGACTATTCAGGCGGAAGAACCCTTTACCCCGCTCTGCGTCTGCTGACAAACTGATATCAGCCACCACTGGTTTGTGATCCGACATGGGGTGACAGACCGGGCGGACTGCTGTGATCTTCTCCATCGATTGCTCACTCAGCAGGAAGAAATCCAAGCGCCTCCTGGTGATGGCCTGTCTGTCCCTATACAGATTGGAAAACCAAGTGTATCCCGGATCATCCGGATCTAGCACTGGGAACGGATCCGTGAGAGTCAGTTCAGCGCTGAAGTCCAGCATGGCCTGCACATCCCCTCTGCCTGCGCACTCAGCGCCTGGGCGAAGCGCCTCGTCGAGCGACACATTCCAATCGCCCGCTATAATCATTCTATCCGTTCTTGGGACTATAGTCTTCAATCTCGTGAAGAACTTGGCCCTCTCCCTCCAGTTTGTTGGCGCGTAGGTGGTCACCAATACCCATTCCTCCCCTCCTAACACTATTTTCATCCAGGCCCATCTACCCCACAGGTCTGCCTCTGCGTTGATGACTTGCGCTTGCAGGTCTCTGTGAATAAGGATGCCCATTCCACCTCTGGTCCCCTGGGCAGGGGACCAGATCTGGGGGCCATCCCACCACCCCGCGAACTCCCTCAGTTGGACCTCATTAAGCTTGGACTCTTGCAACATCGCGCAGCCAATCTTACGCTCGTGCACCCATGATCTCAGCCTCCTACGCTTGATTCGGCCGTTGGTGTCCCCAAGGCCTCTCACGTTCCAAGTTGCTATTCTAAGCTTGTTCATCATTGGAGGATGTGGCCGCTTTGGATTGGATGCGGGAAGAAGACAGTTGAGCCAACAGATGCTGCTGGTCTGCTGTGTTGATCTTACTGCTTGCCTTTGACTGGGACTTCGAGTGCCGGCAAGAGCTGCCTCTCGAGGAGCTTGCTCTTGAGATGGATCTCCATTCGTCCTCCAGACTCTGCGACAGAAACTCCGAGTGTAAATTTTCTTCAGATAAGAGTTTCTCGTTTACATTCAGCAGGACCAGAGCTGAGATACCTGGCAGGACCTTGATGGCCTCCAGCTCCTGCATATCCCGTTCTCGTACCAGATCCATGTGGATCCATCTGACCCCTGACTGTTCCAGGAGGCTTGCTGTCTCTGGAGGGATTCGAGCATCCAAGATGGGTAAGTACATCTTGGTGTAGCCCTGAACTGACTCACAGATAACAGCTACCATTGATGAATGGGGGATCAACCGGACTGGTACGTGCTCCCCGTACAGTGCTTTCGTGGTTTGCATAATCACCACTGGTGTGGCCGAGCAGTCCACCTCTTGCGAGGGAATTCTTTGAGCGCCATCCTCGTCTGTTAGAGCTAGTAAAAACACTCTGTCATCCGCCTTGGTGCAGAGGAGAGGGACTAAGCACCTTTGGACCATCTCCATCTGATTTCTTTCTATCGTCACTGGGCCCCTGTTGCCTGCCTGAGTTCCTTTGTGACCTGTGTTCTTCACCGCGCCTGACTGTGCCGAACTCTCCAGCGAAGAGGAAGATGCAGATTTATGCAAGCCTCCGTAATCTGCCTCACATCATTCGCTGCCCCACCTGACTTTGGACCTGGAGGATTCCGAGGTTTTCGACAGTTCTTCCGCAATTGGTGGGTATACTTCCGGGCGGGCGCCTGTGCCCCAGGGCCTGGAACCTCCTTCCTGTCCCTTTGGCAGCTCGTATTGGTTCTGTCTCCAGGTTGAGGTAAGATCTCCCCGGTTCCGTCTTGATCCCTCCTTCCAGGTGTCCCAACTCCTGCTGTTCGCCCTCTATGAATACCCCCCGGCGGCGGCCATCCACGGACGCGTCCGCGCGGATGCGCGGCTTTGACGCCACATGGCGGCCGCGCGGGAGCATCTTTGGGAGATCGGGAGACGCCACGTGGCGGCGCATCCCCAGCCCCACCCCCACACACAAAAAAAAACGAAAAAGATGAACTTTTTGGATGGGGGGGTATGGGCGAAATCGAACGAAAATGAAAAATATATATATATATGCCTTTTTTTTTTTTTTTTTTTTTTTTTTTTTTTTTTTTTTTTTCCGTTGATTGATTGATTGATTGATTGATTAAATGATTAGTTTCGTCGATTGTTTTTGTTCGTTGAGTGACTTATTGATTGATTGATTGATTGATTGATTGATTGATTGACTGGTGGGGGAGGGGTC